TTGAAAGAATTAAACTATAGAAAGACAGTTTTTCGGTTTTAAATTGTTATTCATGATTGTTATGTTTTGACGGTCTGTGCAACAGCTTTGGGCAAAGATATCAAGTGTCAAAGGAAGAATACAATGAATAGTAACAATAGTAATGACAAAAGTAGGAAACATCACCTACGGTAAACAGAAGGCAAGTTTTCTTTATGAAAGAAAGTAGAGTATTCTGGAATTGTTCTCTGAACAAACTCCACCTCTTTGTAGAAAAAGTTAATTCCAATCCTCGAAAGGTAAATATTTCGAGTTATCAATGTTTCCGTCGTTTCCTTGATTCAGATGGATTCAAACGTCCTAGTTCAACACACCTCAATTATAGTTTTATAATAGCCACACAAACTGGTCAAACTGGTGATCTTTTATCCATGATTCGTACAAAATTACTTTACCATATTAAGAGTAATATTACTACCATGATGGTAAATGTATCTTTTAACATTCTCTCCTGTAGTTCTCGTGATAGTGAGCTTGAAAGGAGCTGGTAAGTCTGCAAAGTTAGATTATTTCTAACATTTCCCCCTCAAAAACCATTGACCTGATAGAAAACAAAAACAATCAAAACAAAAAAGCAAACTAATAACAAATATAAAATTAAAATGAGGAAGAAAATCGAACATCCGAAAAATAGCTCATTAATCTAACGTGCAGAAGACGACCTACCGTCACAGCACAACTGATGCGAAAGTCAGATGTAGGTGAGTGTTGGCAAACAAAAAAGCAAAGATCGTCGAAAAAAGTTATCTTTCAGATCCCCAATCTACCACGTATAGGTTAAAATAACTAAAAAACAAAACAAGAATAAACCCAGATATTCAAAGCAACGACAACAGAGATACTTTTAGGTTACATATTCTGAGCAGAAGTCACCTCTTTGTTTGTGAAGACATAAATAGATTTCTAATTGATTTTGATATTAAGTTTTCAACATGTCAAAATTGTTCTTGTTTTTAATTCCATTTTTCTAAGAAAGCCAAAGAAACCGTGCCTGTACTGAAGATTCCTGCTACGTGTTTAAGAAAGAAGAAAACACATGGAAGGAGGCCAGAACATCTTGTCAACAACAGAAAGGCGACCTAGTTTCCATTGAAACCGAAGAAGAGTGGGACTTTATCAAAGGCGTAATAAAAAATTACACTAATCAAAACAGTACGACTCGGTGGCAGGTTGGTTTGGAAAAAAAGGCTGGCAAGTGGATCTGGGTGACGGGAAGACCTCTTACCACTTGCAAATGGGGAAAAAACCAATCAAATGGAAATGGAGATGTAGCTAGTATAACATGGATAGGAAAGAACCAGACCATTCTTTTCGATGTTCCAAGGAATACATCTGGACCTTTTATTTGTGAAATTACCAAAGGTAAGATAATAAACAGAAGCTATGAAGTATTTAAATACCAGGATCCAGTTTTCTACCTCGGACAAAATTGGGTTTGAGTAGCTATAGATGTGTTAATAAATACGATTCGTATTTTTCACTAATGCGAAAATTAGATGCCCTTAACTTTAACTTTATCATTACTTTATTGCAAAATAGTGTTGCTAATGGACCAATTGGTTCTTTTCCTACGTTTAATATTCAACTTCTTCTGTGCATCAATTGCAATATTTTGGGCATCATTTAGGTACTGGACATAATAATTCGCAAGGCATCTGCAAGTACGTCGGAATACCATGCGAACTGGAGTATGGCAAGAGGAGCTGGGAACAGAATTGTAAATTTTCTGCCTATGATTGCAAACTAAACTGCACTTACGAGGCCCCTTCCGACAAATTTTATGAAGAAGAGTGCGATGAGACTTTCAATCCATATGTACAACAATGCTCCTACAAATCACACGCAGGTAGTACCTATCACCAGATCTGCAACGTTACAAAGTGTAATCTGACAGAGGGCGAACAGAAATGTACCACCAACAACACTTGCTATTGTGAAGGTGATCAGTGTAATCACAATCGCGGTCACGAAAGGTGTACGCAAACTTGCATAGGATTAAAATCCGGTTAGTAAAACAAAAAATCCATTAGTGTTATTTATCACTGACATGTTCAAAGTGTTTACTTAATAACCAATGTGAAATAGATTTAAGACGCGTTTTGTTTATGTTGTCGTCATTGGTTATACTTGTGCTAAGGATAGGCGGAGAGATGTTTTCCTAATGGATGAGGGATCATCTGTAAAACAAATGGAAACAAATGCAAAAATTAGAAATATGCAATAAGAAATCATAATTCTTGAATGGATTTTTAAGCTTTTTTTTTTTTTTTATTTTCAGGGGAGGCATCATCATACTCGCTATCGCCGTCGCCATCACTGTCACAGACGCCATTGCTGTGTAAAACGCCTTCGATGTCGCCGTCGCCGTTGCAGTCACCGTCGCTACTGATGTCACTATCGCCGTCGTCACAGATATCATCAACATCATCATCATCATCTGCATCGCTTGCAAAATCAGTTCTAAAGTTGGTGTGTGTTTTAATAAATCGAAGTCCTTGTACTTCTCATTTTTCTTGATCTTTAATGGCGCTTAATAAAAATGATTGTCAATTTATTTATCCTAGGCAAATATATATCTTTCCGAACTTCACAGAATTGATATCACCAAAAATACTTCTTTGCAGGTATCTGAGTTTGATATTGACTTATCTATTATTATGTAAAATGCATGCGACATAACTAGTGACGTGCCCGACAATGACGACTAAACGATTCGTTGAACCAAATTTTCAAATGAGAAGTGGTGTCACGAGATATTACATGTAAGGAAGATATCAAAATAATTGGAGAGTTGATCCTCGAGGTAGACTTCTATGAATAGTAATGGAGGGTAAATGATGGAAGACTGATTCTCTCCTACTTCATTATCTTTAGCTGGTGCACGCTCTTGATATCAGTACATATCAGTTGGGTTGTCGTAAGAATTTCCTAACTTTTTAATTTTCTTTTTTATAACTTTCTGATGGTTAAATAAGGCTGTAGAACGTATTTTCATATCTAGAGGTAAAGACACAGGAAAAATGAAATAACAGCCGAGTTGTAATGCCTTTTATTCAACGTTTCTCATTGAATATGTGCGGAAATTTTGCATATTGTTCGTATCGTACTTCTAGTCTAATACTAAACTGGACGCACTGGTAGGCGTGTGCGAAGCTGACGTGAACAGATAAGCTAAACTTTAGAACTTAACTCTCACTCGCCAGCTACGTACTGAACACTCGGATCTTTAATTTGATCGATGTTCGTTACAGCTGCTTTACGGCTTCCCAAATGAATTTTCTATATAATTACAGACGGCTGTGAGGATCTTTGAACACTTCATTATCAGTATTGAAAACATCACAAAACTTTCCGACGGCCAGTTTGATATGGAAAAAGTAGGACAAAGGAGAGAATCCATCTTTAAGGTGGCAGTCGTCCTTGAAGAAATTGCCATGAATTATAGCAAGCATCATCTGCTCAAAATAAAACACTCAAAAAGGATCCATAGCCAGAAGATGGGTGAGTCAAAACACAGTTATCTATCAAGAATTATGACTATCCACTTCTAGGTTATATAGACTACAAGGGAGTATTCCTGAATGAATTTAATCTCGAGATAATTGATTTTTTGCCGTCGTTTGCTGTTTCTTTTGTCGTTAGTTCTGAGTATCTACAACGTCTCTAGCCGACGCGCAAGCAGATTCCATTCATGGAAAGAAGGGCAAGTGAGCATAAATGTTTCCTCTGCAAATTTTGCGGACTATGGTTTGTATTAAAAGCCTTCTAAACTTTTAAATGTATAACTCACTGTATTTGTGTTGCGATGATATTTTCATTATAAATGATAAATTATATATTCAACGCGCCTTAATATTTTGTTTTGACTTCTCTCCTTTAAGGACAAGTTGTTATTGGCTGTGTGTACAAGGATCTCCATCAGTTANGTCGATGTCACAAAACCTTTACCGCGAGAACCTCAACTAGTAATCTGGCTGTGACTCCATGACTTCCCCAGCGTTTCAGAAAGAAAGTTATTTGAAGCGCCCGTGTGTTTTGTCAAAGTTGCTACCTAACCTCAAACTAATTCACTATCATACAATTTTCTTCACAGGGACGTAGACTCCAAGATAATATTCGTCGCTATGTATCCAAAACCGAAGAAATTGCGAGAAAGTGTAATCTTGAAGTTCAGAGACTTAAAGGTAACAGCAAGAGTATATTATTATGGTCTGACCTCCTTTGTTTTGAATTTTTTGATATAGATAAATTTTTTGATATAGATGATTTTTTTTTTTCAGGGAGTGGAAGGACGTAAGGTGTGTGCGTTTTGGAGTGGCTTCAGAGAAAGGTTAAAATCGGGAAAGTGTTTTTTTTTTAATTTTACTTTGGAGTTAAGCGTTCCCCGATCTCAAACAAAATGGAGATGATATTTGTATTATTTTGGGGTTCAGAAATTACCAGTAGCGAATCATCCTACCGTTCTTGAAGAGGTCTCACCAATCAGATCTCGCGAGCAGAGAAACAACCAAACAATTGACAAAACATCCCTAACTGACAATGATAAAGTTTACTAAACGCCAATGACTGTCAGTTAAGTCTGCTTTTGAGAAAATTTTATCATTTTTTATTTACATGTGTTTTGGAGTTACTGTACCTTGTTAGTTTTGTACTGCTGATAGAATAGTTATATTCATCACAATAATTTGTTGACTGTTATGGTTTCCTTCATAGTGTGCGTTTGTTTCACGTTTTTCCGTTGCTTATTCTAAATTCATTATTATTATTATTGTTAAGATCCGCCCTAATCTGCCTAGGAGGATCCAGAACAATTAGAAGGCCCAAATTGGATTTTACTAATGTAGACCTAGATATTCAGAGTTCAGAGGCTGCCATTTGTTAGTTACTGTCTTTATTTTTCTTAGATAATTTGTTAGACGACATTTTCATGTATTTTCTCGATTTTTTACGGATTCTATCTTGATTTGTAAATATTTTTGATGATTAGAGTGAATTATCGTTATCATAGTGTGTATCCTCTAGTTGTTCTTACATTTTTATTTCAAGCATTATTAGACATTGTTTTTATTTTCAACCATTTTATCATAACTTTTGTTACAATTTTTATGACTATGGTGAATAAAGGATAAGTTTTATTTAAAAAAAAAATTATTATTGTAATTTATTTTATTATCATTCACATTATTTTATTTAATTTTTTAATCACGTAAAGTAGGGTGTAAATGTCGTTCTCGCGTTTACTTCAAAACTGTACCCAGCCCCATTGCAAGGTCTGACAATCCACCTATCAAAACTGACATCTATGCACAATAGGATGGGATAATTAGTGAGCAAACGATAAATTCATTAACTTATCCACTTTTTTTCTGAAAGAATTCCTCCCGGAGATGTCATTTCTCTTCTTTCAGATCTGCGTCAGACGGATTTTCAGAAGAGGGATGTCATCCTGTTACGTCGGAAAGAAACTCAGAAGAAACAATTTGTAGTTGCAATCATTTGACACACTTTGCTGTTTTAGTGGACTACAACAGCGACCTAAAGGTAATGAATTCATTTATCCTTCAGCTCAAGCATTGTTTTAAAATACAAACGCGTTAGGGTAATAAGTGTATGTTTAGTTGCTCTTTATGACATTTATGACGCAGCTCACAGGGGAGGATGAAACTATTCTGGAAAATATTACCTACGTGGGATTAAGCCTTTCCATTGTTGGGATACTTTTGACAATTATTCTATATTCGTTCCTCACGTAAGTACTATAAACATGCGGCTAAAGAGTAAGTATTAACATGACTTCGAAGATTTCGGGCCTAAATAAAACTAGTTCATTAAAATAATAGTAATAGTAATAATAATAATAGTAATAGTAATAATAATAATAATAGTAATAATAATAGTAATAATAATAGTAATAATAATAGCAATAATAATAGTAATAATAATAGTAAAAAATTTCGAAAAGTTCTAAAACAAATGATAAAATAAGAATATAGATAGGAACAGCGATTAAAATGGATCAACTTGTACTACATAAATGAGTAGCATATGTTGTCAAAGAATGCTTCGTCAGTTTTTGCTCTGTTTTGCTTGTTTGTTTGTTTCAACAGAGATGTACGTGAGCCTCTGTCTCAAATACAACTTAGTCTTTCTGTGTCCCTCGGAGCTGGACAAATGATCTTTCTCGCCGGTATAAACGCCACAGAAAATACGGTTGGTGACTTTTCCAATAATATTCGTTAATTGAATAGATTATTTTTCAGGGCGTTATACATTTTGTGGAGTAAAGCATAAAAAAAAAAAAAAAACAGCAACAACAACATCAACAAAAACATACTTTTCCTCTTGCAGGCTGCCTGTGTTACAGCAGCAGTATTCATGCAGTATTTTATGATGGCCGCTTTCTTTTGGATGCTGGTTGAGGGAGTTTACCTTTACCTGCTCGTTGTGAAAGCTTTCAACATATATGAAAAGATGCACATGTATCACGTCATGTCATGGGGTATTTTCATTTCACCTGTTGTGAGTCATTGATACGTTGATTATTTTCAGTTACTTTAACTTCCTCTTATCGATGTTTAGGTTCGCCCATCATCGTTATCGGCATTTCACTTTTTATTACTGCTGGAAAAGGTGGACTTCAAAGTTATACCAGCGATAAATAGTAAGAAAATCAGTGTGTGTCTGCTACTTCCTAACCTTTCTCCGTCTTCCCTTTCTCCTTTTTCTAGGTTAAATCGATGTTTTGTTGTGTTTTGATTTGTGTTTTACTTTGTAGGTGTTTTGACACCGTGCCGGGGTGGAGCATTTTCTTCAAAAATTCTTTCTCTTTTTTTTTTCCTCGTTTCAAGTTGTTGGCTCTCCTCCACTAACAATCTCATCTGGATACTCATCTCATTTGTGGTGTTCATTAAAGTTGTAAGTCCTCCATTAATAGATCCCTAATTATTACTTCGTTTATACCAGGATTGATCGACTGCTGTTGAAGGCTCCTCTTTCCCTTTTTCCTACGAAACAAAGACCGCCTTCCTGTACTCTACAACTAGGCTCAAAGTTTACAATCCTCCCAATTCTTTTCATTTACACGATCGATGTTTTCATTATTCAGATCTTTGCAGTATGAATGAACACTTGACTTTTCTGAACCCAGAAATTGCCTAGCTTACCGTTTAGTTTGCTTTATTTCTCCTGAACCAAGTAACTAGAGACTCGAGTTTGCATTCCCTGTGGGATTAAAACTTTTATTCTTTCCACTCCACAAGACAGATAGCATATTCTTTACTTTACGACATCTGACATGTATTTCTTGCTTGTTTCAGCTCAACATTTTTATACTCGTCCAAGTCATAAGGGAGATGACCACACTTGTGCAACCTTTGGGGAAATACAACCATATTCAGCAAATAAGGTTGGATAAAAAACTTTAATGTTTTACCAAGCAATTGCAATGAATGGAGTTACAGTAAAGATGAAGAATACACAGTTTCTTTAGGGACTCCTCAAGGAATTTAAAAGAATAACAGCTCTAAGGTACCTGGTTAAGTTGCTCTCGAGTTAATTATAAACAACGAGGCGTATGACTTTATCTAAAACGTTCACTAATCATGTCAAGGAAAGGAACGTCTATTCCGCAGTTTATACATTGTTGTTGTCGTTGTTGTTGTTGTTGTTGTTCTCCAGACTTGACATAAAAACATGCGCGGTGATGGTTCCCCTGTTGGGCTTTACGTGGCTATTTGGTCTTTTTTTACCAATACACAAAGCTTTTGCTTATATTTTCACCATCTTTAACTCTATGCAGGTGAGCTTTTGAGTAAAACTGTCAAACATTAGTTTTGTGTGTCCGTGTTTGAATGCTCAGACTACTTATTCTCTAAATCTGCGCCCTTTCACAACCATCAAATAATATTTCTTTTTTCCATCAGATGAAACTTGCTCTATTTAATTCTTATCCCCTTTCTTAATGACCTTTTATAAGGAAACTAAACGCAATAATAAACTCCCTGCATCAAATATCTCATACGACTCTCAGCCACTGCTTACCAGGATCTAAAAATTAAGTTTGATCTTGAAGTAATTTTCTGTTCTAGGGTTTCCTAATTTTCGCCTTTCATTGTGTGCGAAACAGCCAGGTAAGGACATAAATAAACTGACGATGTACATGAAAGGAATTATAATTTTCGATATCAATAAGGATTTGAGTGCTCAGCAACTGATATTTCCTTGCCTATTTATGAAAATCCACAGATCAGAGAGCAATTTAAAAGGAAGATGAACACTATTTTTCCATCTACTGCAGATCATGGAGACTCCATAAAGAAATCCACAAAAATTAATCCAAGTGGTGTCAGCGATATGCGAGCAATTGAATTGCAGTAATTCTATGATTAGATGTATAATTAAAAAAAGAGTCAATTGACGTTTGGTAATGCGCTGTCACTTAATATAACAGAGTGGATGAAGGTAGATCGATGCTCAGTCTAGTTGTGTCAGTGAAGTTAGCTGGGTCGTTCTGATTATTGCGACATGTCTTAAATGAGATAACTATAATGTTAACCCTTTACCATTAAGCGCGCTCTAAAGTAGTGAACAAATAGTTTGGCTAGAAATGAAAAATTTGGATGTGCCCTTTTGCCTTCTAAGTATTTTAGATGTAAACAAACGCATCTTTTAGATCTTAGACTTTGCTTGTATGATATCCAGCTTATCGTTATGAATATTAAACACTCTACCATCCCGTCCAATCAGAGAATAATTACATTAACAGAAACATCCGTATCGATACGATCTAGAAAAATGTCTAAACATGGACAATCTAAAAATATTTTTTTTACATGTATTAAGTTGCTTCTTGTGTGGCTTGTCAGATACATGAATCTTCAGGAATAGCAAATGACGTGAGCAGTAGCTCGTTTGGTCCATAGAGAAGCAGTGCTGAGCAACGTTTCGTCGATATAAAAACCAGGGTGGGAGAGAAATA